TCATATATTATAGAAAAGTCACGGGGAGGGGAGTGGCGGGGGGAACTGTCAGCAACAATACACCAGTGGACAATAAGGGAAGTCAATTACTTCGTGCAGCATGCTCGAAAAATGCATTTCTTACTCCCACTTCATTCATTTCAGAATCTGATATAAGACCAAGCTTCCAGATTTCTCTGTAGCACATTCTCAAAGCTGCCTTGAATAGAAATCTAGGAACTGGTGAAACTTGAAGATGCTTCTGAGGTTTTAATTCTCAGGGAATTTCAATGCAGAAGAGGGAAATACTAATCAACACAGCTCAATGGCTGAAACTAAAAGCTTTGGAGTACTAAGGGGGGGGGGGGGGAATGGTAAAAACAAAACAAAGCCTCTTTTATGAAAAGTGACCACAGTGGCAACGAGTGACTTCAACCAGAAAACGTCATGTGTGACTCCTCAGTAATCTTTGGAAGGTTTGTTTAGAGGAATATTGTCAACATATTGTTACTATATATCTAAGTGGGGTTACAGAGGAGTTGTGGGTGGAGCAGTGTCCCTAAACAGTAGCAATATTTAATTCTATTGTACTTGGTGATTAAAGACAAGCCTTCTGGGTTCTGAAAGAAAATTCTCCTTGTGAAACAGCAGGACCTTTCCTAGACTGATAGTTAGCAAGATGATACTTCTGTCTCCATGTGAAAGCACATCATGCTAATGCCAGGGGATCCTGAAGTTCAGGAAGGGGCATTAATAAAAACAGCTGCCTTAATTTCTCCTGTATATAAAACTAACACCAGACAAACACAAATATTAAGAGAAAACAATCAGATTTAAGTCTCACATACTTGACCAAAACCCTTTCAAATTCATCTTAAGTCTTAATTCACACAACTCCTTCACTTCAATTCAGAAGAATTTGGCCACAACCCTATAACCATTCATAGTGCTAGTAAGTATCACTTTGTTACTTGTGTAAGAATCAGTTCTTTATCTTTTTATACCACTTGAAAGCACTGGCAGCCTAATAAAGACTTCCAAAACATCTGACATGTTTGATAAGAGTTTCAGAAACAATCTCTTGCACCTTAGAAAGGAAAACCTTCTAGGTTCCACCACAGAAACTGCCAGTTAAGCAAGCAAAAAGGCACCAAATGTACTATGGAAAAATACTCAATAGTTAAAGCTTGTCATTATAACATACTTAGTTGGGGCAGTCAGTTCAGTTGGAGGCCTAACACCAGTCATGTCAAAATGAAGGAAAACAGAAGCAAGTTCTTATGTTAACAATCAGCTTGACTATTGCAGTCTAAGAAATGCAAATGAACTCCATAACCCCAGTTGGGGCTCCCAGCCCAATACAAGTATGGGTAAAGTTGGGGTTAACTTGACTCCTAGGGAGAATTTCACCTTTTAGGGGCACTGAATGCACATCCAAGAACTTAATGGTAGAGCATTAATGGACTTAAGTACAACTAAACGCTCAATTTTCTTACAGAAGCGTGTGTGTATACATATGTATACAAACACACACATGCATACACATTGGCTTAATGGCTTTAAAGATACTGTTACTAGGCGTAAGTTTATACAGGTAGGTTATTTCAAACACCTCTGCACTTTGGTGCAGATGTATGGAAATGAACTTAATTATTTAAAAATTTATAAATTTGCTCATAAAATCAACCTCAAAGGAATTCTACTTAAAATAAAACTCAAATGTTAATATAGTCTTAAGTTAGCATATGCTAACTTAATTGGCATCCTTAAGTTTCTAGACTGTAGTGTGGCTTATGTTTCCAGAACATGGGGGTTAAGGTTCCTATAAAACATAAGTTGAATTACACATAACATTCTAGGCATCACCAACCTACATTTGGATTTGAATAAATATGCCCAGGATTTTGCCTACTTTCTGGGAAGGGGTTAATACATGCTTCTATTTCAGATACTGAACCGTGACCACTAAGCCCACTAAATCCTTTTATTGCAATTGGGAATGATCAAAGTCTCTATACTTGTTTACTTCCAATTATTAGCTGTAAATCTCTGAGAAAAAGATCGTGCTACATGGCTGTCAAACCCAAAAGACTGCATAAACATATGCCTTCAACTTTTTAGTGCTCCTTTCTCCAAAGCATCCCTTCACCACATGACCTATGCTGACATTTAGTAAAACCTATAAAACGTTGTAGACTTAAGTCATGGTTCTAAGTGCATCCCATACTAGAGGTGGAAAGAAGAAAAAAAAAAAAAACTGTAGTCTCCGAGACGAGGAAAAAAAGAAAAAGAGGAAAAAGAGAGGAAACCTCTTGCAAGACTAACGTCCACTCACCATCATCACTCCAAAAAAAGCTCCAAATTTGAAATGCCCACTTCCCATTGAGCACCTCCCAAGTAATATTTGAAGAACTTATCCGATACTCTCAACAAGTAACACCTTGAAAACTTTACCATTTTAAACACAAACGCAGGAGACCTTGGAAACAACTGGGAACCGCCATCTTACAAGCCATCTAAATTCACCCAAGTGTCCCTCCAACTTAAGTTAATAACATTTTTGTTCGGGCTCCTTTCAGCCTAACATCCACCTTGGCGGGATCGCGGCCCCCCAAGCAACCCGTCCCTATAAAATGGGGGCGTTCTCTGGCTGTTTAAACCCCTCCAAAGCCCTTTCTTCGGGATAGGAGGGAAGCCACTTGACCCAAGCAGCTCCCGATTTCAGGCACCCGTCCCCGTTTCATCAAAATCTACCTCTCAACAAAGGGCGCCGTGGCCGGGAGAGCCGCAGAGGCTGCAAATAGAAGTATTCTTCTCGGGGGCCATGTGCGTCGCGAGGGTGTAGAGGGGCGCTCGGGGGAGAAAGGAACTAAAACGTGGGGCCGCGCGCGGCGCGTCCGGGCTGGAGCGGGCGGCGGCTGGAGCGGCGCCGAGGCCGGCTGGCGGCGGCGGCGCGGCGCGGGCTGCGGGTCGGTCCCGGCGCCGCGGGAGTCGGCGGGCGGCGGCGGGCGCGCGCTCGCGGGCGCGGGCGGCGCGCGGGGCCGGGCGGCGCGCGGGGCCGGCGGGCGGCGGCGGGCGGCGGCGCGGGGCTCGGCGCCCACGCTGTCAGCGCCCTCCGGGCCGGCGCGGGCGAGGCGCGGTGGGGGGGGGCCGTTCCCCGTCCACCCGCGGCCGGCCTGAGTCCCGCGCGGCCCCCGCCGCCCCCAGGCCCCGTCCCGGAGGCGCCTCGCCTCCTACGTACCCGGAAAAAGCAGCCGGCGAGAGGCGATCGAAGCGGGCGGAAAAGACAATGAAAGTTAAAAGTCGTTCAGCAGAAAATGAATGTGAGCCAAGCGGCCATCTTGAAGCGAGCTGCAGACGCCGCTGTCAATGGGCAACGAGCGCAGCCGAGAGGAGCGGCGGCCGCCGCGCTCGGCTCATGCTGCCTCCCGAGCCCGGCCTCCTCCTCCTCCTCCTCCGCCTCGGCCTCCTCCTCCTCCGCGGCCTCCTCCTCCTCCTCCTCGGCCTCCAACGCCTCCTCCTCCTGGGCCTCCTCCTCCTCCTCCTCGGCCGCCGCCGCCTCCTCCCGCTCCGCACTCGGGGGAGGGAGCGCGCGGAGGGGGCGCGATCAGTATTATTCTGCGGGGCTGGGAGGTGTTTCTAATCCGGATCGGGGCTCCCTCGCCAACATCCCCATTGTCTCGCCCCGATCTCTGCCTTTAATACTACGATTATTATTTCATAGTTGCTGTTGGGGGGGAGGAGGGCGGGTGGGGGGCGCCGTGTGTGTGCGTGCGGAGAGGCGGGGGGAGGGGAGGAAGGCTGAGGACGGGGGAGGGGAGGGTGGAAAAAAAAATGCACCGCTGAAGGCAGAGTGGAAACTGACACCGGCTCCAAAATGGCTCAGAGTCCGCCCGCCCCCTCCCCCCGCCACCCCCCCACCGGGTCACGTGCTCCCCTCATTCCTTAAGGGCGGCCTGGGAATTAGTGTCGGTGTAGTCGGGCCCGCGGCCGCCCCCTCCCCTCGGAGCAGCGCGACCCGGCCCCCTCCTCCTCCTCGCTTGGCGCGGCGGCGGCGCTGGCGCGGCTGCGGAGACATTTCTCCACAGCGCCACACGCGCCACCCTGCTTACGGCGCGGGCATCGCTCCGGCCCCGCACGCAGCTTAGCCCACCCCAACCCCCGTTATTTCTTTCTTTCCGCCGTCCGTCTCCGCCCGCCGCACACATGTCCGCGAGGAGACCGCCGGCCGACACCCCGCGCTCGGCCCCACGGGCTGCGGCCCAGACTCCGGCGCCACGGCGCGGAACCTGCGCCCGAGTTGGGCTCGCGGAAACAACAGCGCCCGCCCCAGTCTTCCCGCGGCCGCGCCGGCCCCCTTTCCCGCCCGCCAGTGGCCGAGGCGGGGCGCGCGCGGACAGCCGCTCGCTCCGGGCAGGGGCTCGGCGCGGAGCCGGCCCTCCCGGGCCTCGGGAGCTCCGCGGGCGAGGGTCGGGCTGCGGGCGAGCCCTCGGGCGCAGTTAACGGAACGGACGGGCTCCCGCCGCTGGGCGACCGCGCCCGCTCCCCACGTCCCGAAGCTGGGGTCTTCAAGCAACCCCGGAGATCGCATCCTTTCCAGAGTGTTTAACTTTAATCCTGAGGAGAGGAGATCGTTAAAAGTTAACGCCAATCGTGTCTATGTCTTCAAAGTAATAATTAACAAACTCAAATCCAGACAAACTGTCACCACTCTTTTGTGGGAACAACTTATTTATTCAGAATGTAATACTGTCTACTTCCTTTTGGAAGACGTGGAGAAGATCAAATGGGATCAAGTGTACGGATAATACTAAAGATTCAAATACTTAGGCAGAAATTCCCTCTTAACCCTTCCAGAGGTGTAAAAAATAAAGTGTCAAAACTTATGAGTGACAGAAATCCAAAAGAAAAAAATCTGTTCTGAAAAGGAAGACATCCAGCTCGCAGAAATGATGGTTCAGCGGACGGCAAGACGTTCCTGGTCTTCCTCTAGATCCGGGCAGATCGTTAACTTTCCCAAGTTACAACTGAGTTGCTCTTTCCAGGCTTTTCGAAGCATCTTTAAGTTTTCCTACTAAGTCCTGAAAGATGTATACCATGGCTCGTTTTTAGGATAAAACGCAAGAGAGAAGTATCCAAGCTTGAGAAAAATGCAAGAAAAAAGTCGGGAGACACTTTCTAAACAATTTAAAACTCAAGATTTTAAACCTTTGACAAACCACTATCAAAGTAAAGTTTTCCTCTAAAATGTCTCATCTTCAAAATGCTTGCCCTCAGATGTGAAATATAGTTTCTAACTGAATCTTCTGAACACGCAAGGTTTACCAAAATTAAATTTCTCAAGTTATCTAACAAGGATAATGCTGTATTCACATCTTTTGAAAGTTTAAAGTTCAATTAATGTTACATTAAAACGACTCTGCAGGAGACTCCTTTGGAAAAAATCAATTTCATCAAAATTTCAAGTGATGTCCTTCATTTTTTTAAGTGCTAAGAAATAAATTCGTTGTCATGTCCATTAATCAATGTAATTTTGAATTTCCTCAGTGTCTTAGACAGTATGAACAGTTTCAGAATTTTTGTAACTTGCCCCTTTATAAAAAGTCATTTAAAACCACTGTTTAAAAATCATGTTTTCAAAGTTTCTGAAAGCAAAGAGAACATTTTTCAAAGCCAAGCTTTCTTTTCCTTTGTCCTACTGGCTCAAACACATCACAGATAGAATTTACACTCAACACTACAAGTTTATTTTAATTGAAGGGAACAGCAAACCAGACCAGTTCTCTATTAGTTAGCATCTTAATTTCAAAAGCCTATTTTAAAATATTTCTTTTGAAGCCCCCTTCCCAATAATTCTTTAACCAACCTTCATTATCTACTGACAGATGGTTAAATTTCTTTTGAACTTTCCATGGGCATAATTCGAAATTAAAAATCTGTAAGAAGATAGGCATATTCACAGATCCTAATACTGTACCTGTAATTGTTCCATGCTGCAACTAAAACTAATCTCTGGGTGGGATCGGGAGTCAGTGTTCTAGGGAAGAAAAAAATGCTGTTTATTTAAATCAAGGAAATTGAAATTTTCATTATACATTTAATTTTTAAACAGGGCTTCTGTATAAATACCTCTACATTTAAGGTCACCAAATATGCAGGTCTGTACATCTTATCAAGTTGATTGGTCTAAAACAACATAACACAGAGATTTCAGTCTTTAGCTCTTTTTTTTTTTAATTCCCTAAATTGCCCTAGAGAACATTAGTTAAACTTTACCTTTATCTGATATTCCAAACGCCAAGAAACATCAGTTATATGAGGGAGAGATCTGCCTATACTGAAAGATATAATGACAGTTTTGTACATAATAGCTACAGAAAAACTTTCAGTATTTGTCCTTCACCAACAATGGTGTCTACCACCTCCTGCACCACACACACACACAATTTTAATCCATTCTGAAATTAAAATACTGTTGAACTTTATTTCAAGTTCTGAATAGTAAAAGAGCATTTTAAAAATTATCTCAATAAACTTTATCTTTAAAAACATTAGCTTAACTTCAATTGTTTCACTTGCCCTTTGGCCCCTTTTCTTTTGGTCTAGATTCCCGTTTTTTGTTCTGTTTTGTTTCACACCAGCACTCTCCATTCATACCTGCAAGTGAAAAGTGGCTCAGCTTGACACCTTATACAGTACCTACCTTCCCAGTAGGATTTCTAGGGAATTCCTATTATTCTGGTAAGAAAAAAAGAGAAAGAAAACATGTCTTTGCAAACAGAGTAGAAGAAATAGTAATTGTTAAGTTTTAAAAATTTAAGTAACCTGATATTCTGTCCAAAACAATTCTATTCTCTCACTGTCAAATTTACAGTCTTCTAGATAAGTGCTAAAAAAAAAAAAAAGCCAAAGTTTAGTCTCCATTTTAAAAACTGAAATTTGAATCATAAAGGCACTATTTTAAGACAAATGGATATTTAAATAAATCCTGTACCTTAGAGTTGATTTGTCAGCTCTCTGCTTTCCAGCCTCCAGTATGTAAGTTGCAGCTGCTGCATGACAATGTTTTAAAACCACTGGGTCGATATGTTTCAAGTCTGGGTGATCTACAATAAAAGTAATTGCCAGTGATGCCTCTGATAATAAATTCTTTATAGTCCTGTTTCTAAAATGGTATTTTCATTTGGTGAAGAACTCTAACAAGATAATAAGAATTATTCAACTATAAGGACTAGAAATTTTAAGTAAATGAGATGAGCAATATGGTCAATGGCAAAACAATGAAGAGCACACATCAATAATCATGCTGTTACCTGGTCAAATTACCTTCTTTTAATTTTACCTTAATACTTAAAAAAAAGTCCTATTGTAAAATATACAGTGGTCACTCTAAAGCTGGACGGAGGAAAATAAGATAAATATTTTACATGGTGTAAATTTAAAAATGAATAAACTTTCCTTCTAAAGATTAATTTTAGGGTAGGTAACTGGCTCCATGGAGGTGGAGAAGGAAAGAGTTCAAAATATTTTCGACAGTCTTTTTTTTGGAGATTAACCCAGGTGGTGGTTACTATTTTCGTTTAAAGAACTTCCACTTTCATACATTTTGTACACGTTTAGCTCGTGAAACTATAGGGCAAAAAAAAAACACAAAAATTTGAATTGTTGAGATATTTATAATTAAGAAAATCATTTAAAAGCGATGTATCTTAAAATATGCCTCCATCCATACTGACATCGCACTCCGCAGTGACCGGACCACTTAAAACAGACTTGCTTCCTGATAACTCATGCGGAACAAAACATTATACACCACATTTTAAGAGTCTGGGCGTGGAACCTGTGCAAAACATGTTGAACTAGAGTGTTGGAATGATCAGAGGAACTTGAGGTATTCTCTAAGCTAGAAAATGTCAACACTATTTGACCGAGTAATTACTCTGGAAGCAGACCCTTTAAAACCTTCGCCAGCCTAGTACTGAAAGCTTGAATCGCAGGGAGCTGCCCTGATGAAGTCCAACTGTCAGTCTGCCCCAGACCAGGGTGAAAACCTTAGATGTTTAGGCCACAAACAAGACTTGAGCACCGGCTTTACAAAAGAACAAAGAGCCTGATAGGGAAAATCAGACCAGGAAAGTGTAGCTGGCGGTGTGCAGGTGCCAAGTGAGGAGAGAACAATGATCTGGGTCCGCTGTGGGTTCTGGCAGAACCACATCCCCACACTCCGTCCGGAGCGAAGGGCAAAGCCCGAAGACTTCCTCTTCCCGGGGCTTTCCCCTTCTGGCTCGGTCTCGCTCCTCTTCTCCGAGCGCCCCTCCACCCAGGCCGATCCAGCTCAGAGCCGAGCGGCTTACCTAACACGGCCTCGTCCGCCTGGGCGTCCAGCAGACTCTGGAAAGCCGCCCGGAGGAGAAGCGTGAAGGTGTTGGAGTCGAAGGAGCCGGGATCGGCCAGCATCTGGAAGCCTTTCTGCACATACTGCGAGAGCTCCATTGTGAGCGCGCCGTGACCTTCGACACGCGCACCACGTGACACGCGTCGCGCGCTCAGCTGATGCGGCCGCGCGCGCACGCGGCTGGGGCGGCGGCGGCGGCGGCGGCGGCGGCGGCGCTGGCTGCGGGCCTCCCCGCTCGGGGCCTCCCTGGCGGCCTCCCCGCCCGCGTCCCGGCCCGCGTCCCCGGCCGCCCGCCAGCCGCCGCCGCCGCTTCCGTCTAGCCCTTCCTTCTGCCCCCGCCGCCGCCGCCGCCGCGCCTTAGCGCGAGGGGCGGCCCGGGCGCTTTGTGGACGCGCTCGGCGCTCACCTAGGACTGTCACCGGCTCCTCCGGGGCCCGCGGGAGCGCTCCCGAAAGACCCCGCGGGTGGTGGTGACGGTGTCGGGATCCCGGCCCCCACCGGCCCCGAGAACTACTCCTTCCCCGCGCCCCGCTCAGCGCGAAAGCTGCGGGAAGCTCCAATCTAAGGCAACTGGTTGGTTTTTGGTTTTGAGCTTTTTTGTTTTTTAACTCAACTGCTTAACCCCCTAGCACTGCCCTTATGTGAATGAGACTGTAGACCTCTAATTATAATTCTTGCTTATTTCTCCTTTTTCATTGTCATTTCTGGAATACGGCGATTGATTCCTTTTTACGTGGGGGGGTGTGTAAACACACGTATACATTCATACAGTGCGCGCGTGTAGGTTCTGTATTTCGACAACTGAGAGAATAATACCTTATTTACGAACACATTGGAGAAAATGATAAAGAAAATACTTAGGTGCAGCTGCAAATAAACACCTTTCCAAAAGAAACTGGTACAAATTTTGTGCTACTGTGCTCACAACATCTGTGGGTCCTGTTTTAATTAGTCAAGCAGTCCTCAAATATTTATATCAGATAGTTATCTTAGTACAATAGTTAAGAATGACAAAATCTTTATTAGAAGGGAATGCCCATAATTTTGAAGCTTCAAATATTGTATAAAGTAACTTCCCCCTTTATAGTTATACGAAGTTGAGGAACAAGAATGATTCTTTAAAAAAAGAAAAAAGCACAACAAAGTAGGTTATGAGTTTTTTTGATCAAAAGAATTTAAAATTCTTTCGGGTGGAGAGGAGGGATAAGGAAGGAGGAAGATGTTTTAGTCTTCAGGAGGCATAATTTGAAACAGACTTAGCATGAAACACTTATAAAGGCATAATTTAGGTGCTTATTTGAAAAACAAGTTCCTAATGAATACAGTCAACATTAACTTGCATCAATGGATAAAAAGCACCTGATTTCACAACAACAGAACGCAAATAGAATAATTTAGCATCAGTAAAGATTGAGAAACTACTCAGTTCTCCTTTGAAAGCATTGAAAGGCATGTGAACAAGCTTTCCACTTTGGTCAGCCTATAGGAACAGTGAAGAATTTAAAAGTCTCCCTTGAGTCTTTATGATACAAACACCTATTAATCATGTTCATTTTTCCTTCCCATCTCTCTTTTCTTTCTAAACTCCCTGTTTCTCATCAGTAGTAAAATGTCAGTTGAAAAATGTCAAGATACCTGATTTGCATAAGGAATATTTTACAGGGCAGAGTTGTGTAAAAGTTAAACAGTATTAACAACACCCAAGCTCATTATGTTTGTTACACATATATTTTATAACCTTGCATAACATTGATTGTTAATACTCTAAAAGAATTTGAGTTGATAACTGTAATCGTAATTTGGTGTCAAAAAAGAAGGCAGTAATGCTGAGCATAGATTTTTTTAAAATGCTATTTTAAAAGAGGAAAGTAAGTACAATTAAATGTGAGTTTCTGAGCATAAAAGTTAGGAAATTCACAAGAATTGTTTCTGTAATAACTGTCATGTTATTCTCCTGTATATATGTAAGTCCTTTCTTTTACAAGGCATTTGTCCTCTTCTGCCTATATGTATTTCTGTGTTAGGCCTAAGTGATGGGTCCATTTCCAGTTCACACCAAAACTTTCACTGTAATGTTTTCTGATACTAGAAAAACTGAATTTTTCTCCTATAGCTACATTTATTTCAGCTCCCTTTGAAGGAGGCACAGGATTAAGTATTTGTTTGTAGATCATACATGTGTATCTTTAACAAGGAAGCCATTGAAATACATTTAAGTATAATCATTAAAAGGCATGATTATTTAGATGTAGGCTCTCTTCCTTGTGGCAATAAGATCAGTATATTCTATATTATTAGAAAAACTATATATGAACATGTTCTGAAATTGGGGGGGGGGGGGCTATTTAAAATTTTTACTTTGATCACTGAAAATGGCATTGAAGCTTTCACTAGACTTAAAAAATTCTTCAGCCTTAAAGCCAATAGATTAAATTTGCCCTGAAAGAGCGTTTTAAAATAACAATTATATGCAGCTGAAAAGTGCAAAATAGATGTTCAAAGATTGTGTTAGTAATGTATTTTTCCTTTTACACAGCAAATATTAAGATAGACAATGCTGATAAATTTGGGTTTCTTTTTGAGGCTCTACAAATTATTCAAAGAATTAGAATGTATCATTTTAAATAATGTTTTAGAATATTGTAAAATACATTGTATCCTTTGTGCTGGTTAGTTAACTTGTTTTTTTTAGAAGCCAATTTAATATTGGCCTCTGTACCATGGGTACAATTTAAATATGCTGGGGCATTTGTAGGATCTGTGTGGTCAGCTTTTCCCAGAGGCCTCCTTGGTACATTTGTTAGTTGCAGAAAACAATTTCTAGTATTTAATTTTTAGTTTGTATAAATACTTTAGCTTTTGTGCAGAGAAAGCTTAAGTATTCCTTTAGACAAAAGAGTTCCTTTAACATCCACAGGGAGAAAAAAAAGCCAATATACTTAAATGCTCATGCATCGAAAGGTTTTATTGGCATACATACTGTGTTCTAATGGGGTTCTATTTTATCCCTACTCATGGAATATCTGCTCATTTTCCAGAAAGAAGGGTGTTAAAAATGCTTAAATATTATACAAACACAAGAAGCCATCTTCTGTCTCTACTCCCTCATATGGATTATTTGATGGTTAGTGATCTTAAAGCCTTGAGATAAATATTAATAAAAACAATTTATTATTTTAAAATCATTTTAGCCACAAATGGACATTTGGGAGGAGTGATTAATTGAGGTGCAAATAGTATATAAAAGTGTAAGTCAAAATTATTTCAGTCAAGTTTATAAAATCTACACACATTCTTTTATTAAATATCTTAACTTGGCAAGGTGTAGATTGGGTCTTGGAATTTAAATGATCAAGTTTTTGCACATTTATGACAGCAGAGTTCAGTGATTTCAAATTTGGTCTTGTGGCACATGTCAAAAGACCACATCGAGCATTCAGAGGGGACAAGAAAGCTTTATTTTCAAATTAAATATTTAATCCAGTGTCTAAGAATTTATAAATGATCATTGCTACAATAATTAATATAGGCAAATACATACAACCTTTTCCTTCCCTTACATCATATAGCCTGTCCTATATTTGAGGATTGGAGCATAAACTCAAATTCCTTTCAATGGAGTTTGTGCCTTAGTGTGTGAGGGCAAGTGAAATGCTAGTCACATTAAAGAAACTGGAACCATAGAAATGAAAATCAGTGCTACAGCATTCTCTAAAATGCTTATAAAATTCATGCTTATGGTTTTGTACAAATGTTTTGAATTTTTTCCCCAAAACTGTAATGCAAAACATTTAAACTAGTTAGTACAATTTCTATTTAATAATTTCATCATTTAGTGGTATTTTTAAATTTTCACTTTTGAGATAGTTGCTTCAGGAAAATATCAAACTTTAAAATGTGATGTAACAGTAATCAAAATTAAATATTTCAAATCTAAATTGTAATAGATTAAATGATCATACTACTAAGAAACTGAGTTTCTTAAATAGATTAGTATCAAAGTATTTCTTTTGAAATTAAGAAATTATGATTTTGTTAAACTTTGCAAATAGGAAAGTCTATAGTCAAGATATTGTTTAAAAAGGAAAATAGTCTTGAATTTATAAAGTAAAATTTAGAACTTATCATTGAGTGTCCTGCCTTGATTTTGTTAGCTTCTTGAGTCAGAATGAGATAATTCTATAATATTAAAGGAATGTACATAATAATCAAATGATAATTCTTAATGTTAAATCTTTGTATCTTAACAGTCTATAAGTTTCAAAGGATTTTCTGCATATTGAAAAAATCATGTCTACTTTCCAGGGCTTCTGTTAGGAAGTTTAATCCCTTATTTTGAAGCCAAGCAAGTAAAGTCACATGGGAATATCTGAGTCTCACTGACTAAAATCATGAAATCTTCAGCTAGGAAGAAATGGGGAATGAGTTTTTAAAAGGAAATGAAAATTTTAAAATGCTGTTTGGCAACGGATGCAGACAAAATTTAATTTAAAGGTAAGGAAATAAGAAACAAGGAAGGCAATTATAGTTCACAGTATAATTCATGAGAAAAGAGCAGGTTGAATTATGTGTCTTAGAATTTCTCTACCCAGACAGATCAAAACTATTTACTTTTAAATTCAGTAAGTGATTGAAATGATGACAAAGTATCTTTTTGTGTGGGTTATAATAACCAAGTTTACTCCTTGTCACATAATTTATATTTACTTCACCAGTGAAGTGATATGAAAATTAGCAGCTGGCCAATCATCCAATAAACTCTGTCAAATAGCTTAGATAATAAACAGTTTCCCCCTCAATAGCAGGTTGGTTTTATTCCCAACTTCAATTATAAAGATCACCACTTTGATTTCCTACTTCATTGATCTGGTATCAGCCAGAATGACCCATGGGTTAGCTAGAGTTGAATGGAAGTGAAGCATGGACATGTTGAAACAAGTTTACTTTGATGAATATGTCTGATTAATTCTTCCATATACATACAGACTGTCCTTTACATTGTTAGTATACTTTTAAAGAGAGAGGGAGAGAGAGATTGAATATTTCTTAAAAGAAGGAAGGGAAGAAGAAAGGAAAAAAGGGAGGGAGGGAGGAAATT